ACTTCCTTACCAGCTCTTTTTACATCACCGCCCCCTCATTTTCAACACTCAGTTTAAACGTCACCACGTCAGAAAGCCTGTCTTGAAAAAGTTTTTTAAAATAGGCTCTCTATTCTTTGTACACCCACTCACAATACTTCCATCTTAGCACCCTGTTTAGATTCTTCATGCATTTGTCACATTTATTTAAATTTGCTTCTTGGCATATTGGCAGATTGTCTAGCCCACCACTAAATGCAATGTCCTTGAGGGCAGAGAACGTATCTGTATTGTTCATCACATTATTCTCAAAATGTGTTTTTCTCAAAATACATGCTCATTGAATAACTTGTTAGTTAAATGAAATTCTGAACCCCTTTATGAGATAGTTAATATTACTTCCATCATACAGAAGAAGAAACTGAAATTTGGTCTAAAACTCTTTTTTTTTTTTTTGTAGTATCTCTCACCTGTCTCATCTGTCAAATGAAACAAACGATGATAGTACTACAAATGTTAAGAAAATATTTGCAAGATTAACTGTGGAGCACTTTATAAGAAATCACATGGAAATGAGAAAAAAGACTCTGAATCAATACTGTGGCCCCAAATGAAGTAAAAGAGAATGTCTATAATAGAGTCATTTGATCTGTTTTTGGCTAGAGGTTCCCAGCAAGCTGGAATTAAGATACTAATGGTCTTTTGAGTTAACTCAGCCTTTATGGGATCCCAGGATATTAGTTGTTAACAACGCTGCAGTGAATGGCCTATGAACTAAAAAACTCAATAAAAAAGCAAGTGAAATCAGGAAAGAATAAAACTGGATAATAGTAAGTTTAGGGATAGGAAGTTTTGATAAAGAAAAGAAGGAATTATTAGAGAGTAGAAGAAATGAAGAAGTCAGAGAGAAACCCCAAAGTTACAGAATGCATTGTGTCCTAATTCAATTAAATTCTTTTATGAATTTCAAAGTAACTTTGTTTATCAAACAATTATTGTGTGAGAGGTACAGGAAGCTTTTATTATCCCTCCTCTGCTTCTTTGTTCTCTGTTTTACACACTCATGCTTCTCTCTTCCTATCT